AAATGAAATATATAATGTACAATAATGATAAAGTTCAATTGCGTTTTAAAATTCTTAGTAAGGAGCAGGAAAGTAATTTATTTACTCATTTATCGCATAACATCAATTTTGATTGCACTGATCTCATTAATTTATTTCCTTATATTTTTTGTAAGTGTGCAATATTTTTATCTATATCAAGTCCGTGAAACTACTCTAACTTACATTGCATTTCAAGTCATATTAATTGAGAAGCACTCAATATACCGCTGATAAAAATGACTGATTCTAATTTTGGAATTGTCGCGTATTTTTACGCGTTGCTGCGATTCGGTGCTGATCTGTTTGTAACGTATATGCGCTTGCCGGACACAAGTAATTTCGAGTACGTATTTGTTTCAAGAATCCAATTTAAAAATTTATTTAAAACTCGGGAAGTACTTTCCATGTCCTATTGCGGCAAGAAAGACTTTTTCTCGTTGTCATCTCGATAGCGTGATGTGACGGGTCGAAAATGAGCGAAGATGCGTAGTTTAAATAATTAAGAAATCAACATTCGATGTTCATTATATATCATTAATTATTGTGTTGCTTTTCCTCGACAAACGCATCGCGGTCGAGACATTTTTCGTTCGGACGCACCAACGAGTCGGCATATTTAGTGTATTTCTTACAGCTAAATTAAAATGATTTGATTGAGTTTTGTAATTCTCTCATTTCGATGTTTGACTCATTTCTTTTTGTTTTTCATCATTGAATCTTCTCGAAACGCTAGCGATCGGTGTGTACATTACTCCGCAGTTACACAATGTAGTTAAATTATTGTCGCTCAGTCGCTCTTTCTTTTTCAATCGCTATCCTTTTCTACACTTGGAATACTATTCAATGGTTGACTCAAGGAGGGGTTCGTGTCGTGGCGGCGGGTAGACGTGCCGCATGGCGGCTTCATATTTAACTGAAAATTAAAGAGATATAGAAGACGCGTAGAAAGTGAGGAGTGTGTAATATTGAAACTTGAAAGGCTAACGAATAACAAGGGCCGTCCGGTAAAATCCGACAAGAAATAGTTTTTGAATAAATCAAAGTAACAATCCTCTAACTGTCAAATCGTGACGTCACGCGGAAGAAATTCGGTTAAGAAACACCGTCCACGAAGATCCTCGGGTCTGAAACGAATTTAAAAGGTATGGGGAACCGAAGCCACACAAGAAGGAAAAGGAGATAAACACCTAAAAGCTGCGAAACAAATGTAAACTCCATCCATACTTATGTTTCAAGGTAGGTGCTCCTCTTAACTGATTCAAAATGGCTGACGCATGTCAGTTTGACAGGTCTGTGTCAAACGAGCTAAGATAGACGAAAGCATATTTTCAACACCTAGACCTAAGCCCCAAAGCGGAAGTAGGGAAGAATCAGAAACCTAGATAATATAAAAGAATGGTGACAAACTATTAGTACATCTATGTAAAAAATTAACAAATAAAAGTAAAACTGCCAGAGTAACAGACGTTAATCAACCAACGTAGTATTAACGTAGCATCTAAGAACATAGGCGCCACCAATCGCGAAGGCATGGTACTAAGGCCACACTATGAATGCCGTCGGTACAATAGGGCGAGCGGGAGTCTTTCCCGAAGATAATGTAAATAGTTAACGATAGACAAAATTTAGGTCTCTATACCTCTTAAAAGAGAGGATTATGATATCAAATCAATCTCGGACAACAAAACGGTTAAACAACGAAACCAGAGTATTAAACAGCTACTCCCGATATGGCAAATTGCTCGAACGCGAAAACTTGAATCACACGCCACGCGCGCGCGATTCAAGAGCAACATAACACCCGGAAACTAGAAGTATAACGACACGCTTCATAAACGGAGAAATAATAAAAAGGAACAGGAACAGGAGCATAAAAGAAAACAACAACAGTACTTCAATAATTTATTTAGTGCACAGCCCGTGCTCCGTTACGTGGGACCCTGGCGACCTCTGACTGGTTCCATTTACTTACCGAGGGTACCAGGTCAGGTCCGCATACGAATGTCCCATAAAACCGAAGAAAAGAATAAGAATTAAAATAGCCTGAGCAATATGCCATAAATTTTCATGAATCTCCGAGCTTTATGATAGAAATAGGA